CGCGAAAAACACACCAGCGAGATGAGACAAATTCCAATATTCTATTTTAAAAAGTTGATTCATATTGCAATGTATATAAATATCTTTATAACTAATAAGAGAGGGAGAGAAGAGAATTTAATTCGGATTTTTTCCAGTTCATATATAGTAACATTGTATAAAATTGAAATGTTTCTTTTAAATTAATTAAGGATTACGAAAAAAAATTTTATCGTAGCATCGCGTGATCGAAATGCATACGAAAATAATATTTCTTGGCTCAATAATACTGATTATTCAAGATGTCCGCAAGCGTCACGGTGATTAATCAAAACTTTCTCGGAGCGAGCACATCGACGGGCGTTTCCTGAGAAATGTTAATAGAAAGAAAGAAGACGCGCTTATTTGTGAAAACGAGAACGTCGACAGAACGCTTTTGATTCAAAGACAAAGCTCGCTTTGTCTTCGTGTAATCGAGCGCTGCACCGATCCCGATATGGATGACGCGGTTGTAAGTGTAAGGAGACGGTTGCGCTTTTCCCACGAAAGTACACAGCCAGGCCTACCTTTTTACTGTCAGATACTCTCGCTGCCGTAACGATCCTCTCGCAAAGAAGTCTTTAACTCGAGCCGGATAGCTCGTTAATATATAGCCGCGCATAAGACGAAACGGAAGGCTGTAAGAAGTAAATTTTCCCGCATACTGCGTTCCATGCGCGCGATATAAGAATGGTATTATCTTATATAATACGAGTTATATTATAGAATTTTATATACGCACATACATGCATACACGTTAAAATTATAAGAACGTTATATCGTTATTTTGAATAAAAAATCTGACGAGATAATAAAATTTTAATTTGTTAATATCGAATTTAGCGCGCCTTATTAAAATATACGCTCGTAATATTGTATTTCCACTATATTATTCACTTCAACATTCCCGTACATCTTTAGCAATAAAAGCGTTTCGAAATTGTCGCGTCGAAAGAATTGATTTGATTTGAATCTACGATTTGAAGTCATAAATTTTCAAGGATAAATTTTCAAAAGACCATTTTTATGCAGGATGTCGCGCGTTTTCCATCGAATGTAGATTTCTTGATAAATTCGCAGTCGACCTTTTTGTAATGAAAATCATAAATAAATGTTACTCTCTTTAAAGAACATCTCAACAAGAAACAAATTCGTACTGTCTTTTAAATCCCACGTGAAATTAATCCAAGAACAAATTGTCCATCTTGAAATTTAATAATCGCGATTGAACCGCATCATATATTTAGCTCCCGCAAATATATTAAATTTCTGCGAAAATAATTTCAATACGCAATTTAATTTGCTAATACGCCCGGGAGCGAGCCGGTTGCCTTTGTTTCAACGATGTCTACCGGGACGAGAGGGTAATGGTGGCCGTTGTAGCGTGTATATAAGATCGCCGCAGGTAAAAATTGCATTTTCTCATGAAAGTCGGATGAATCATATGACCGCGGTCGTCGGCAGCGCAGTTCCTCGTCTTTTCTCCTCGAGGTTACGCTTCTAGCCTCTAACCCCCCCCCCCCCCCCCCCCGATTACGAAGCGGCGTAATAAGATTTTGCCGTGTGTTTCTCGCCTGCTCGCACCGCAAACTTGAGAGAATCCCCCGAGAAAGAAGACCGCCTGCTCTCCGTAATTACGCTCTCGATGAGTTGCTAATCCGCTGTCGACCTCGCGCCTGAAATTGTTTAAACAGGCGAGCTTATCGCGATTGGGATCGACAGAATATTTAATCAGAATCGAATCGACGATTTCGAAAGCGCGTTAAGTCGCAAATATTGATCTTGAGGAGAATACGACGGAAACTTTTGTTTTTACTCTGCTTTAGCAATATAATTCGTCGTAAATCCAATTCGCCTGTGCCTTTCTCGATTCTGTGTTTCAAAATTATCGAGCTTAACAAACATGCTATTCTTAAAAATTGATTGCGATGTTAATAGGAAGATATTTTCATCATCGACGCGCGAAGGGGCAGACTTAGACTAATTGCAAGAATTGCATGGTTTCTACAAGAAGATCCTTTTCGAGATCCAGATACTTTCACTCTTTACACGAATCAGAATCTCTCACGATAGATAAGTATTTTCCGTAAATCCGCAAGTCTCTCGTGAGAATCCGACAGGGCTTCCTCTTCGAGCTCTCGGAACGAAAAGACCAGATATATCTTGACGGTAATCATCAATTTTTGAGGCCATTGACTTTTGCGATTTGACGGATCCGATGCTTTGACGGCTGCCTTTTGTTTTATAAAAGGGGGACTAAGAGCGGAGGGGCTTGACTATTCTACGGTATCGTTCATTCGGGAAGCAACCTCTCGTTGAGGAAGATACGTGATAAGGCGCCGACGACGACATAAAAGTGCTATCTCTACGAAACGCGACACCTCGTCGATATCTATGTACGCGTAATAGGTGTCGATGCGTTCCACGGAAGGTGAGATCTCCTCCTCCTTTCCCTTCTCCTTCCCCTCTCTCCTGTGTGTATCTTCTCCTCTTTCAACTTTCAATCGCATTCTATTTTATGCGTCGACGAATCTAGGTTATCGCTTAGGCGACCATATATCGGTCGCAAACCTATATCGGTTTCTGAACCTAAGAGGCATCTCGAAATGCCAGGGTAACGATACAATCTCCAATAAAATTTATAAAAGAATTTTCAAGAAAGATCGTTATGTTTGTTACTTTTAACATGTTTAATCTTAAATCGAATGATCAGCGGAAAAATATGTTATTAATAATATTTTGAAATAATTTTCCAATCAAGTTCATCGCGTAATGCACCGAAAAAAAGTTTGAAAATCTCACACGACATAAAAATGAAACGAAAAAAATTCAAGAAAGATTTCGCGCTCAACGGAAATGTCTTCGCTCTTTACCTTCTCCGACAGTTTTTGCTAAAATCACTATAGACGCTTTTCGTACTTCACGTAATCTTGTTAGATACTTATTCCTCTCTGTCATTCGGCTGACGTGGGTACATTTGAGAAAATTTGATGCGCTGACAATGCATTATTTCACTTATGAGCCAACATTCTATCTCGATGATAGAATTCGTTGCGTTTTCTGTTGATCATCCTAATATATTTTTTTTAAATAATCAATAGAACTCAATATTATACTAGCAAAAAATCTCACTTACTTAACTTAATAGATTTCTTTCAAGCACGATGATTCGAATATTTCGGATATTTTATATTAAATTAATATTTCTACACTCATTTTTTGAGTCAAATTATTCAAGTCGTCCGACATAAAGTTCACTTAAAATTGACTACGGATCTCTGGAATTGCAATGGTTGGTCACAGTACGGTAAAGCGGCACGAAACGCGAGGCGCAAAGGCATGAGGAAACTTGAATTAATAAAGCAAAGCTTACATGAGAGAGAAATAGAGAGAGAGAGAGAGAGAGAGAGAGAGAGAGAGAGAGAGAAACAGAGAGGCAGTGGCCGCTCATGTATTTATAGATCGTCTTGCAAGTAAGCCACTTTGGTTGCGTTCAATTACGCTTCTTCCGTGTCGTACCGATATGCCCATTTTGGCCCAATCTCCGTTCTCCATTAACTCGATCGTTCGACGGCTCAATTTAATCGCTAGCGCGGTTATCGACCTAAGGAAAAAGAATATAAGACATCGCGCGAATACGCAAACAGATGCGTTTTTTTTCTATGAAACGAAGAGTTTGCGAGAGCTTCGTCAAAAATAAAAAAACGGCAAGATATAAAAAGAATTTCTCTAGTCATCTTATGTGCTATTTTGTGGTTTAAATCAGATTTAATTTTTTTTCTTATCTTTTATATCTTAAAAAAGACAATGGTTTATAAAAGAGACTTAAATGATGTCCAAGAGATAGAAACTTAAATTATAAATATAATATACTCTACATTATTTCATTACATAATTATTCAGACTGTGTATTATTTGTGTCTGTTGACCGAAAAGTAAAACTTAAATATTGTTATTAATTAATAATAATTGACTCGGCGAAATTGCCACGAAAGATATTCGTTTAATCGAATTGTTTGCGACTTTTTCGACTCACCCTATAGTTGAAATGAAACGAACTTAATGCACTCGGCTACAACCGTTCGTGTGGTAGACTACCGTTGATGGAACGATAGACTACTTGTACACCGAGTAGCCGAAGTTTAAACTATCCGCTCTTTAGAACCTCAAGTATCCGACCGAGTGTTCAGCCAAGTGCCTGGAGTGAGTGTATACTCGAAAACGGCCAGAAACGCAGAAAGGAAAAACTTGGTTTTCTAGGCTCTGGGCTCACGTTGTTGTAATTTAAAGTTCCTTTCCGCGTAGATTCTTTTTTCCATCGAGTTTCAACTTAAAAAAAAGATCTGTTAGCGCGCCATAAGGTATCCAACAATATAAATGGAGAGCAATTTACTTCGTTCCCGTTCGTCATTTTCTTTCCGTTGCTCGTTTCTCGCGAAAGATCGGCGAGGGCGAAAGCTCGGAGAACCGCGAGAGAAAGCTCGAAAGCTAAATCTACGCGAAGGAGCTTTCTAACCGAGTGCATGATTAATGCCTGGCAAACTTAACTAACCGCCTCGCCATCGCTGATGTGTATACATTACGCAGCGTCAATGTAACGCTAGAAACTCGCCGTTCGTAACGATATCGAAAACGGCATCGTTGAGAGACGAAACGATTAAATTCAATATATTTTACATGAGCAGAATATATGAAAGAATTAATAAGAATTTTTAAATATGTTTGTTTCATATATTCAAAAAATTAAACATTTATAAAGATAAATTATTTTATGAATCTACATGTTGATCGGTTTTTTTCTGGATAAGCTATTTCTAAAACTTTAATTATAGTTTGAAGAAAATCAATTTTGTGTGGCTAAAAATTATGTTTTTATTTTAGATATTTCATAACATTCCAAAAGAGAGAGAGAGAGAGAAAGAAATATTTAGTCTTTTTTTCTTAGATATAGTTTGCTTTTAGATACTATATTTTTCTTTCTTTAATATATTCAGGAGATGTAAATTATGACTAATTTATTAAACCAACATTATATTTTACGAGTTGAGAATTAAATGTATCGCGGTAAGGTAACCACACACATTTCTGTATGTTTATGGAGGTATTTAAAAATGCGGTAACCACACGCTTCAGCCTATTTAAGGAGGTGTTTAAAAATTCCTCTAATTCGTGACCGTCTAAAATTGAATTACCCTCCCGTGGAGTTTCATCAAAATCTCGGGCGGGTATGAAGGTTTCTGGCGCGACAATAAAACTAGCGGCCCATTTGCGAGTCGTACGAGGCGAGTAACATGATAGTGCCCATGATAAATTCGCGATTTAATGATAACGGCAAATGGCTATTTACGTCACGATAGAAGCCAATTAACTTTGCGGAGCACTGACCGAACAAACTGTCGTCGTCCTGTAAAGGACAGCGACATTTAGCGCGAAGCGTTGATTAATTAATTCCGTAAAGGTCGCACTCGAGATTTCCTTCATCTTACCACGAGAGATGACGCAACGTTGTCCTTCATTCCTACCTATCTACCATCTAAGATTTTGCAAACTGTAATTTTGATATTCCCGTCCGGATGACGCAATTAATCCACTCTCCTAAAAAAAAAAGATTTTAATAGCAATTTATATCACCGTATTAGATATCTATTACGTGTGAGCTAATATGAAGTATAATAAAGAATCGAAACATTAAAATTTCATGTTTTTCACGCGAGAAAAACTCGCGTCGCTCACGGCCAAAGTTTCTAAAAACACCAAGTTACCAAGGATGAAACTCAGCGAGGCGCAGTATTTTTGCACTCCGCCGTGATTACTCTCGCAAACTATGGCATTTAATCTTCGCAGGTAATCGAAGAAGCTTGTAAAAGCAAATCGCACTCGAGGCCTTACTTGTTGGATACATTGATGGCAGCGCGTAAACGAGCCGCGAAGGGAAAGAAAATAGCAAATAGACATTGACCCTCTCTCTAGATGCGGAGATTTTTTCCCTTGGAATCTCACACATACTTCTTAACATTATCATTAAATGTACACTAAGATCTAATGCATCCCCAACATTCAATTATTTTTAATCTAATTCAGTTTCTCCTCTCATTTTTCCCTCATTAACCAAAAAAAAAAAAAATTTATATATATATGAATTTTTTGAAGTCTTAAAAATTTCTTAATTTCGCAGATATTCAGAAGATAATTTTTTTTTGTAGTAAAGAGTGTTTGACGTCGTAGGTTTAAAAAAAAATAAGAAAATAGTAAACACATAGTTAACGCCAATGTGGAGCTCTTTCAAAAATAAATCTATGTGTTATCGTGAAATGAGAAATGCAATTAAAGAAAAGTAACCGCGAAACGGAAAGCGAAGCCGTAAGAATGAAAGACGACGTAGAAACCCGCGGCGGGGTTAAAGGGAAAGATGGCAAGACGATTTTTCAGAGAGCCTTCGCGCTAGAAAGCTGCGAGAAAAGCTTTTCTCCGGCCAATATAGAGAACCTTCTTTTGTCGAGAACGTTGTTTATAGCCATTAATGATGTTTATCGAATCCGTCAGCGCGAAAACGCTATGATTTATGATACAGATAAACGATAAGTCAACCAAACCATTTATATAAAAATTCTCTCATCGCTCCAAAAATTTATAAACCTTATTCTATTTATATCTATTATGTTGGAGTATCTCTCTGAGATTATTGGAAGCAGATGATTGATAAAGTGATTGTTTCATTAAAAAAAAGATGATCGCTACTATATAACAATATTATCCGCTAAAACTGATCTGATTTGCCAAAGCATCTACAGATCTTTTGTCTAAATGTAATGATTGAATTTACTCACCAGTCTACTTTCATCGTACTTATTATGCGAGTACGAAACCGTTGTCGTCGTGTCGCGACGCACGGTGTCCCGGATGTATCTGCGATATGTATCTGCGAGAAAGCTGCGGACGAAATTGCATTATGTCGTCCGGGAAACCGTATCCAACTTTCGGTCCCTGGAGGGCGTAAGAGAATCGCTCCGGAGAAAGACAGTGACGTTATCAATTTAATATCCAATTACATGCGCCGCATCTACGCCGCATTATCAACCAATTATTTCCATTGGAACAGCGCTGAAATCAAAATTAAGCAAAGAATAAAGCATTACGTAATTAAGAATGCAAGTAAATTAATAATATTCTGCACGTTAATGCTTCTTGTTACTATATCTCTTGCTTTTCATTCAAAAACAAGAAATATAATATCATATAAATAAACATAAATGTATTAAGTCTATTAAAATATGTATAACAGTTTTATTTAACATTAAAATAAAATTATTTATATATATGCGATGATGTATAATGCAGGATATATGGTACAGTATAATAATCGAGTAAAAAGGGAAATTAATTTGTGAAAAATTATTCATCTTTATCATCTCTGTTGTGTCGACAAACATTTCGAGTGTAACGCAGATGCTGTTTTCTTACTTTATTAACGTGCTACGGCTTATGTTTACCCGCAACGTGCAAGTATCGTACAAACGAGGTGCATACTGTAAACACTATGTACACTATGTACACTATTTCGCGTCCCCCTAGATGCAAACGCCATTTTGGTGATAAGTAGGCGATAATAAATACGTAATTACTCGGATTATATGTGAGTTTACACAATTTACTCTTAACGGTCGTTCTAAAATTCTAAATAAAAGAGCTCATTTTCAAAAAGGACTTTAATTCGTTTTTTTTTTCAATTTTAATTAGTTCGTCAGGAAAAAAAAATATTTATTTTAACTATCGTTGAATAATATTTGACATACTATATTTTCGAACTTAATATGATTATACATATAAATTTTTTTTTAATTTAAAACGTTCTGTGAATTTTGCGTCGTAGAATGCGAGTTATCGGTCGGGAAATGTGTCATTTGCATTTCTTTTTTCCACGCTATTCGCGGTTACACGCAGATGTCGGGTATCTTATCCGGAATGATGTGTAAGCTCGCCTCAACGCAAGACCGAGACGCGAAGTGCGAGCGCGTGAATCCCGTGTGCATCGTAAACACATCGCCGGTATGGCACAGGTGGACGGTGCACGTGTGTCTCTTGGGGATGATGTCATTACTAGTGCTTACTCTATCATAGTGTTTTTTCCATGTTTGATTTTTTGCAATAGCGACGTGCACATCGAACAGATAATCTCGTGTCGACGTCATTCCGCGAGTAACGATGACCATTTATCGATTCGAAAATTGCATTCACTGCTCATCTCGCCTGAGGTGTATTTTCAATTCACGCTCGAGACTAATTAAAGAAAATTATTTATGATGATATCTCACCTTCTTTAATTTCGCATAAGTTCATCACGAGTTCCGAAGATCGTGATTTAACCAAGCTAATAGATGCTTCTGATTCGCATTCGGCATTCTCTCTAAACGAATTTTCGTGAAAAATTAAATTTGACGTAATAAACTTATTATATCACAGCCAATTTAATGTACAGGGAATATTATCTCTCGATTTTAATGCATACGGTGACAAATGTCAGAGGATAAGCGCATCTCGAATTAATCATTAAAGTCAATACGATGCATAACTTGTTTCAGAAATAAAACTCTAGAATAAAACTTTTAAAGTAGACATATTTAGGACATTGCATATGTATGTGTGTATTTTGCATCGTAATCCACAGGATGGATCGACGCATTGCTCGTGTAAGTTTTACATATCGCACATTAGAAAGCGAAGGTTGCAAATCCGCAGGAAAAAAAAAACGCTGAAAAACGTGGGAACAATATGAGAACGGAATACGCGAACGGAATTACGATTTATACTATTTCGCTACAGAAATGGGCCCGACAAATCTTGTGTATTCTTCGGGGATCGTATATCATCGACGCTGTCAAAAATCAATCGCGATTTACGGACGTGACGAATCCGCCAGACGGGTCCGTAACAGACGCACATATAAACGGGTGCATAAATTTTTTCTTTTTTATTCGCTCCGTAAACACAAAAGCGCGCGCAGCCGGTTGATCCATTCTGCGGCTACACCCATCGACGTCCATGACACGAAATTCATCGACGCGTCGCGCCGCACTCCGGACGCACGTCCGAATGACGTGATACGAGTCGCTGGAACGCCGTGGTCCATCCGAAACCTATTGGGATTCCGATCTAAACCGAACGACCACGCATTTCCGGGAAGGAGAACGTTCCGTTCCTCGGGAGTGATCGATCCAGCAAGGCCATCGTTTCCGAGCATCGATCTCTTCTCGTGATTGTCGTACTTTGCAATCGCGATATCGAGAAACATTTATGCGCGTCGAAATATACGTCAAAATAAATAAAATATGAAATATCTCGTAGAGAATGTATGTTTGATGAGTGCTCGATGATGGAATGAATAGTCAACATACTTCGGATGCGCGTTCACTCGCGCGCACGTATCGACGCCGGCGTTTCGCGTCGTCTCGCCTCGCGGCCAGGGTCAACCACTTGTAGAATCCTGGCAAGCGTCTATGCAGCTCGTAACACTCGACCGGATACCGTGCCAAAATTTCACGCGATTACGGCCTTTGTCCCACCGTCAATGACCCCTTAAAGCTCACGCTCGTTATGCTTGGCACTACATCGGCGATCTTATCAGGTAGGCGCCACAAATCTGTCATTAATCCGGACCGCGTTAGCCCGCTTGTTGCATTATACGCCGAGCAACGAGGCTTATCTCTGTCTCGTTGTATCTTTAGGAACTCGATTTAATAATCGTTCTAAATGAATTCTAGGAGAAATTTATCCGCTTCACCCATTGTTCGTTTCTGCCATTTTCTAATTAAAACAACATATCCTATCAAAGATTTTTGCGAGTTTTAACATAAAAGAAATTTATGAACGTGTTATTCGCGGAATTCATGTTATTTACGATAACTAACAGAAATCGTCATCAAATCGTATCGATAGGTTACTCTACTAATCACAGAAATGGACATGTCTTGGACTCGCGTAGCCTTTCAGAGCACGCATGTTTCGTCGTGCGTAATGTATTATAGATTGGTATTACGTGTGTAGCGTGTAGCGACTATAATACGTGCGTGTGTGTATCGCGCGCGGTAACGTACACGTAAGCCTAAACAACGCGAGCACCGCATTGCGGAAATTCCAGGACCGTATATATTACTGACTAATTCATTCCCTTTATACGTACTCGGCCATGCATGCATTTACGCGCTTGCAAGGTCTCCCGTGAATTCTACTGCGCGGCCTTTCAACCGCGCATTCTTTGCTGAAATTAAAATCAACGTGTTATTAAAAATTTGGTGTAAAATATTTCTCCAAATGTCGAACAAAAATTTGAGTTAAAAATTATAAAAATATTATGTATACATATAAAAAGATATCTAAATATTTTTATTTAAATGTTTAAAATATTTCTTTAAATATTCTGAAACTTTATTCTTTAAAACATACGATCAATGAAAAATTAACTTCTTTCCGTCACGGATAGCAATGCATACGCGTATATAATCTCGCCACATTCAATAAAATAAATAAATCTAGTATCATTACGTTGATGATTAGCGATATTCTTCAAATATTGGATTTTCGCACTTTCATCACGATGTAATTAATTTTTATCTCCTGTAGATTATAATTGGACGACGCGTGAAGATTGTTCGCGAGCAATGAACCGCGCGGTTACAATTAACCGCATGCAAGTCATGTAGATAGATCGTTTTATATAATCGCGGATATAATAGAGTTCAATTTCGAGATCCGTCGGAGAATTTTTATGCACGAGTTGAACGACAGATATCTCCTTCCTTCGGTAGGATAATCTGGACCGATAAGTCCTCCATAAAAAAAGAAAAATCCCACTCATGAAATCTCTTTGTTCCTCGAAAAAAAACAAAGTTTCCCACATTTCCTTTTTCCGATTCCCTTCCGCCAAATAATTAAATCTATAAATTCTTTAGCAAGATTTAATAATCTATTATATAAGTGACGATTAAATTAGCATAGTCTTTAACCTCGTTACAAGTTCGTAAAATCTGCCAGAGATGAACTTATTACTCATACTTACAATATTAATAAATAAAAGATGCAATTATTTGTTCTCAATTTTGATGAGAGAGAGAGAGAGAGAGAGAGAGAGAGAGAGAGAGAGATTACTCTAGATTGGTTCTCAGCAATGCAGGACATTCTCTATCTATGAATAGCACTGATCGATTCGGACTAATTGAGAACCGATCTATAATTATAATTACATGTATAATATTTATGTATTATTCAAATTTAATTTCATGTAGAATTTATGACTTGAATAGAGATGTTGACAGAATTAGAATAATAATAATTATTATTATATACATATATATAGCATATCTTCATCTTGAATGTTATTATTTAAAAATGTGGTATATAT